TAGAACTGTCTTAATCATTAATAAGCCAAACACAATGGATGCTATTCTTACTACGAGTTTTTGTCCATGTTATCAACATGACTTCGTTGGAGTAGATAACATCAATGAACGCTCGCAGTAAGTTAATATCAATTTTGTTTAGTTTATTAAAGATTAAAACAGTTCTACAACTATGAAAAATATATCATAATTGATGACTGCATATCTCAATTTCTCTTCCAACTTCATTTTCAGGCGTATTTTGATAGCAATAATAACAATGGTGTTTTAAAGAGTAATATTCTACTTGAGGTTATCACGAATAACTTCACGCCCTCTATAACCAGGATCATAACATTTGCTAAAATGATCCCTGGATTCACGTCTCTACACAAGGATGACCAAGTGTCACTCCTCAAGTCCGCATCGCTGGAGGTTCTACTCGTGCGCATCTCACATTGGCTCAACGTCAAAGATGACCAATTCATATTTGCGAAATACAAGCAAATGTTTAGCCTAGAGGACTTCAAGGGGACACCTATGTACGAGATCGCAAGCGATGTTTTAGATTTCGCTGCGAAATTCAAGGCACTACAGCTAACAAACTGCGAGGTTGCCCTCTTTACCTGTGTCATACTTTTAAGTTCAGGTAAGGAGCGTTGTTGGTTATTAACATTTTCAAATTTTTTTTACAAAATGTTATACAGGTAACTTTATTATTATAACACACCTGGGAATTCTACCTGTTTTGATAACTAGGATGATATTTTATGTAACTCTATACAATAGTTCCCTATTGAATACAAATACTGTAATTTAATTCTCAGAAGTGTGCTGCTCTTAAAAAAAATAGAATTTTATATACTGCAAAGCGTGACCATCAATTTACATCCAGTAAATCCTTTCCTTTTTTTTTTTTTCTTTTTTTTTTTTTTCCCTTTCCTTTTGGACAATAAAGTTATTTTGATCTCTCTCTCTCTCTCTCTCTTCTACAGTTATTACATGGGGATCAGGTGTCGAAGGACCACTTAGTATAACTGTGCCATGGAGCATATAGTTTAAAAGACCTAATTTTTATTGTATATGAAATTATTCAAAATTTTTGAAATAATCTAATTTTGGAAACTCTACATTATAATCTTTATACATACAGTAATAAATATGTGCCGAGGCTGGTCAATTAATTTCCAAATTTAGTTTCTGTTTCAATTCCGAAATCGCCATAATGTATTAATAACTAAATGTTTCCCTTTAATATAGTGTAATAACAAACATTTGCTT